GCATTCAATTCTGTCTCCCCGCCTACCTAAGTTTTGCCCTATCAAAAGGCCAAGGCAGCTTCTTTAGTTAACCAACGAAAGCAACAGAAATATAGAAGGACCTCCTACACCAATTACATAGATACAATTTTTGCATTTTTCTATCAAATGACTTTTAAGAACCTGGACAGAAAACAATTGTTTCAATGCTTTAAGCTCTACAGTGAATGTGCACCATTTCTACAACCAAGAGTAAGAATTTTTTAAAAAAGAAAAATAGCCTTAACTTCATTAAGGGTATTGAAAATAGTATTAAAGATAAGAAATGTAAAATAAAATGTCTGAGATTAAGCAGGTCAAGAGCAAAGGGCTTTCCTAATATTCACAAATCACAAATTATAGACGCTTCTTAGAAACTACTCAGGAGGCAAGTGATTTGTGGCACAAACCATCTACTCAATCAAGTAAGGAACAACCATTCTGCATGCAAACACTGCCTCTACCCGTCCCTCTCAATTGCCCATTCTGCCAATAAACACTGCTTCTTTCAATAACTGAATCAGCCAATTTAGCTCTCTTGCTTAGAGGGTGACAAGCTTCTAGTGTACCTGAGCCCACCTAACAAATTGGCAAGTCTGTCCTCCTTCAACACCCATTTTTGATACTATCTTAGGAACCAAATGGTTTATGATTTCTTAAGAATTCTTTTTTGGTTGTTTGTTTTGTTTTTCAAAACAGGGTTTCTCTGTGTAGCCCTGGTTGTTCTAGAACTCACTGTGTAGACCAGGCTGGCCTCAAACTCACAGAGATAGCCTGTCTCTGCTTCCCCACGCCCCTCAGTTCTGGAATTAAACGTGTAAACTACCAGAGCCCAGCCTAAAAATTCTTATTAAAAAGATGAGTCCCACAAATGATTGAGACAGCTAACAAAAATCAAATGTTCTTCCTCTTGGGGCAAAAAGCATTTGAAACAAAAACTTATCTCAAGGTTTCTGTAGTTACCACATTATTTCTGCAATGTCTAGAGCCTAAGGTGTCTATCCTGCCAAATCCAGAATGTATAATGGTTACTATGACTACTATTTTGGTTCCCACTATCTCATAACCAAGCCCCAATCACTGTTTCCCTTCAGTGGAAACAAAAGCTAGGTGTAAATCACTCTTCCTTAGTTATCTGTGGATCTCTTTCTGACATCACACTTGTTTCTACTATGCTTGACTTTTATTTAACAAAACTGGGGCTCTAATGCTCCCTTGTGGTTGAATTTTACTGATTCTGGCTATTAGAAGTCATTTATCCTTCTTAATTTCTCATCAAAACTACTCCCAAATGGAAGAAAGTTAGATTCAAAGCTGTCTCAATGACAGTATTCTTTCTCTTCTTTCATACTGGTTCATATTGGTTAAAAAAAAAAAAAAGCAGAATCTGACAGGCCTTGTGGTGCACACCTTTAATCCCAGCACTAGGGAGGCAGAGGCATGGGGATCTCTATGAGTTTGAGGCTGGCCTGGTCCACAGAGTGAGTTCCAGGACAGGCTCCAAAGATACACAGAGAAACCCTATCTTGAAAAATAAAACAAAACCAAAATCTGAGTCCAAATCTAAACTTTTATAAAGAACAGGTCTTTTTTTTTTTTAAACGTGATGACATGCACAACCATCATTTACTTATTAATCAACTGCTACCTCAAAACAAAGAACCCAAAAACACAGAAACTGGTTTTAAGAAAACCGTGAATTACAAAGACATCCTGAAGGTTCTTCCCAATTCTAATGCAGCCAGATAGTTCTCAGGCCACAAACCACCCTCCACACCTTCAATAAAGGCTGACTCTCCTCCCACTTCTTTAATGGCAGAGAGGAAACTAATTGCTTATTGTTCAACTGTAACTCTCCTCTGCCATCATCACTGAACAGTAGTAACCTCTGTTTCGTAATACTTCTTTACCAAATTATCTACTTATCAAACTCAGCCCCAGTCAGGAGTCACTGTTAACACAGGCATGAATCTTTTCAAACTCAGTTGAGTGTATACAAACATCAGAAGGAGCCGCTTCCCGTTGTGCAAACTTACAGAAAGTCTACAAGTTTCTATTTCTCTCCAGTCCGTTAAAAAGCAACATTAAGACAGGCAAGGAAACAATTTACATTTCAGCCATGTGATATTTAGTACTTTAAAGCATGACCCTTATATACCTAGTATCTTACTGTGTCTTTTCAGACAGAATTGGCACTATTTCCCAATACCCTTTCCACTCCCAGGATACAAGGAAAGATAGGTAGGGGGTTAGAGCCCATACATTTAACTTAACACAACCAACTTCGAAATTATTTTAGGACATTCTCTTCTCATAAACTTAGAGCTCTTATTCCTCACAAATGAAATACCAGCTTTAGAATTATTTGTGAAAAATAGTTTTCTAGAAAGGATATTGCACCCCTTAGAACATTCCATTAGAACATTCTTCCAAATGCCATTGTGCCTTGAGTGAAAATGTTCGATAAAGTAGGTTTAAAAAGCCAGTAATTGGGGCAGGAGAAATGGCTCAGTGGTTAAGAGCACTGGCTGTTCTTCCAGAGGACTCCGGTTCAATTCCCAGCACCCACATGGCAGCTCACAACTGTGTGTAACTACAGTTTCTGGGGATCTGACACCTTCACACCAATGCACATAAAATGAATTAAAAACAAACAAACAAAAAAAGAGCCAGCCATATGTTACAAGCACAAACTTCTTTGGGGATGGGGGGAACCCTGAGGTTAACTGTATATAAATCCAGACTGGCTTTGAACACTCCTCCTTCCAGTCCCAGCTTCCTCCTCAAGCACCAGGATTACAGGTGTTTGCCACCACACCCTGCTACAGTCACAGATTTTTATATTTCATTTTAATAACTTGGTATTTCTCCATCTTAATAGTTGGCAGTCTCTGAAGAAATACCATGCCTACAAATGCTAAATTGTTGGGATTCCAGGAGGTCAGAACTTGATTTACTATTTAGTCAGAATATCTAGTGACTGAAAGGAACATTCAGACAGAAAGCATCTCTAACACGTGGCCGGCTTGGTCTGGACTTCCTTTTTCCTCACCAGTTCACCCATTATTTTCTAGCTCCAAGGTTCAATTTCCCTGATACATTCTATATCACTACAATGTTGTCTCATTAGCCACCTTACACTGCTAGTGAAAACAGAGAATTCTTCCATGGCTCACAACTGTCCTCAAACTCACTATGCAGACTAGGCTTGACTTGAACTTACAACGATCCACCTGCTTCTGCTTCCTGAGTGCTGGGTTGAAAGGCCAGAGACACCAAGCCTGGACCACAAATGAGACTTTTATCACACCCTCTCTCCCACAGTCAGTTTTTGGAAACCAATCTTTTGAATCTTAACACCTTATACATTCAAAGGAGGTCAAGTCTTTCCTATGTACTCCCATCCTAAGCCTCCGCTCTTCCCCACAGTCTCAATAACTCATCTCGACTTGGAGAAAACGCTTCCACGACACAGGGTTAACAGGCCAGTCACCGACTCTGATTCAGGGGGACAGGTTAGTATCTATGTTAATGCCAAAGCAAGGTCATCATCCTATCAAAACTGCAATAGTCACACTCCAGCTGAGGGGTTTAAAACTCTTCTTCCTGGTATCTGCACGAGACTTAAAAGTGTTAAAGTCAAAATCATCTCAGCATTCTCTTCCAGCAATGTTACGTCTTGAATCTCTTGAAGAAGCTCATCTTAGAAACGTATTTCACTAGAGGAGTTAGCAGACATAAATGAAAGGCTAGTTTAAAAAAAAAAAACACTGTCAGGAAAACCAGGCCTGTTGGCACACGGCATTAATCCCAGCACTTGGGAGGCAGAGGCTGGAGAATCTCTGTGAGTTCGAGGCCAGCCTGGTCTACAACGCAGGCCAGTCGTGGCTGTTACACAGAGAAACCATATCTCAAAACAAACACACACACACACACACACAAAATGCTGTCAGGAATTCAGAACTCTGTAAGGTATTTTAGAACTGCATGAATACGGTTGATGATTCAACTTCTGTTAATTAGTACAAGGACTCATAACAATTTACCACTGGATTAAGCAATGCCCTCTTCGATAGCTCGGTTGCTTGGTGAAAGGGGCCACCTAATCTAACCTGGATGGTGGGATGGGGTCTCACCAATCGCACAACAGGACAACTTTCAAGACACCCGGGGAAGGGGTGGGGGGTGGGGGGTGGGGGAGTGGGGTCCCTGTCAAGGTTTTCCTGGTAAAGGAAGTTCAGAATGGGGTAGGAAGAGGCTGCCTGGGTGAACTTCCACAACCGTACTGCCTAACTTTCCTAACTCTTCCTGTCGGGGTTGCAAGACTCTACAGGAAGCATGTACTTGAGGGGACCTGAGAAGGAACCCTAGAGAAAGTACAGCCGGGCTCCGAGGGCGTTCCTCTGCTTCCCAGTGGGAGAGGCCTGCACTGCTTGCAGGATCGGGACTAGGAAAGGAAGCCCAGCTTCCAGGGACCCGGAGGGCCCTTCAGAACAGCAAATGCTGGGGAGCTTCACACAGCTGAGGAGCCGGGCAGACTTAGGGAGTCCCGCGTGTTGGGGAGCCCAGTCGAGACTGGAGAGTCGGACAGAACTCGGGAACCCCGCACGTCTAAGAAGCCAGGTAGACCTGGGGAGTCCTGCAAGGTTGAGAGCACCTCATCGCTGGGGAAGCGGAGGCCCGCGGGGCTTGGAGAGCCGGGTAGAAATGGGGAGCCTCGAATAACTGGAGAAGCGGCATAACTGGGGAGCCCCACATGGTTGTTAAGTCCCGCGCTGCCCTTGAGTCTCCCTCGCATTCAGGTGGAGGCCCAGTCAATGCCGGGTTCCGGGCGCCAGCGCACCTGAGCCGCGCCCAGCCACCAGCCGGCCGCTGAGAGCAGCCCGCGCGGCTGCCCGTCCGCCCCGGCCTGGCCCGGGCTTCGGCTCGCGGGGTCCCGGCCCATCGCCCCGGCCCCGCCCGGCTTCTCGGTCCCGTCGTACCTGGCTGGCAGCCGCGGCAGTGGCGGTGCTGCTCTTCACGTACCCGTTCCTCACCTCCCCGTTCTTCACGCAGCCGTTCGCCCGCAGCGGGCGGCGGCAGCAGCAGCCGCCAGGCTCCGGCCGCATCGTCCCGGCAGCACCCGGTAGCACGGCAGCCTCTGGAGGCGGCTGCGGCGCCAACTCCCGCTCCACACCGCACCCACCTCCCCGAAACCGGAAATGGCTGCAGCGCCGCTGCCAATTCCCGGTCCGGCCGTCACGCGAGGGCGGGGCCAGCGGAGAAGACCAGGCTCGCCGAAGCCGGGCTGCCGGAGGGACCACGGGGCGGAGCCTGATGGAGTCCGACCAATCCAAAGGCTAGGGAGGCGGACCTCATGCTGCTTCTGGCCAATCAAGGGCGAGAGAAAAGCGGCTTGCTAGCGTCAAGGGGGCTTCTTCGGAGGAACTCGAGAGCTGGGCGCTTGATTGGAGCCCTAGACAGGTCGTAGGTGGAGCTTTGCTGCCTAATGGTCCAGACTGAGGAGGAGGCGGAGCCCGGAAAGAAGTAGCCAATTAGCGTGTGGAGGAAGAGACAGGGGGCTGAGCCCATCTCCAGAGCCGGTTCCCGGTTCTCCTGCACAGGTGGTGGTTGCCCTCTGTGCCCTTTCTCCCTAGAGGTTCTGGGATTGAATCAAAGCCCAAGACAGGCAGCTCCCTTTCTTCATTAGCAAATTCCTCTGTGGGTGTTAATAGAATAGCCCTTTTGACTGTCTCTCACCGTTCCTCACCGTGCGCTACGCAGACGTCTCGAGGGCGCACCGCTTGTTTCTATCCGGGTTTGCCCTGTACAGTTTCCTCTGAAGACTTTCCTTGAAAGTCAGGAGACCTGATCTATTTTCAGATCTTCTGATAACCGAAACTGAAATTTGAGAGTTAACTACTTTATGAGTCAACTTCTTTTTAAAATTCTTCCTGCTTCATAGACTCGTTTGCAATTACATTAGTAGAGCGTTTGTGCACCTATCAAAATACCTAATCCAGACCAGTAGTAAAAGAAAGGAAATCGTTCTACATTACAGCATTACAGAGAACTTTAGTTACCCATAAATTTTTAGTGTCATGATTAAGAGTATGACTCAGTCTTGGTTTGAATTCTTGCTGCCTCACCTACTAGCTGAGTGACCTCCATGTGTCTTCCTCTGCTCTGGGGGATAATAACAGTTGCCATAAGAGAATCTAATGAGTTAATGTATGTGATGTATTTTGTGCAGGACCTAGCAATTAGTAAGTGTTCATTAAGTGCTGGTTTTTATTAATTGCTGAACGCGCTATGTGAACCCCAACATCACACAACCCCTACTCCCCTGGAGCTTTTAGAAATGAGTTGGCAAGGTATTTGTTTTGCTCGAATTAGGAGAGGACCAGTCTAGCAGAAAGTGGAGAGAGCACAGAACTACTTTTGAGTCACGAGCATTCTGATCCCAAAGTGAATACGGTAATCAGAAAGAACTATATGGGGCCTGGAGAGAGGACTCAGCACTTAAGCACACTTAATGCTTATACAGAGGACCTGGATTTGGTTCCCAGCACCCATATAGTGGCTCAGAGTGTCAGAGGATCCAAAGTCTTACATTGATTTCTGAGGGCAACAGGCATGAACTTGGGCCACACACATACGTGCAGGCAAAACACTCAGACACATAGAATAATACATCTTTTTTTAAAGTTTTTTTTTTCCTTTAAAGCTCTGTATGCCTTTAAGTCAAGCATGGAAATGCATGGATATGATGCCAGCACTCATGAGGTGGAGGTAGGAGTATCAGGAGTTCAAGACAACCTTTGGCTATAAACCAGTTCCAGGTCAGCCTGGGATATATGAGTCCCTGCCTCAAATATGAGGGGGTGGGGATGACTCAATCAATGGAAGACTGCCAGGAAAACGTGAGGAGTTAAGCTCGGATTCTGAGCATCTCGTTAAGCTCCCAGTGCTCAGGACACAGAGCCAGGAGGATTCCTAGAGGTATCTGGCAGCCAGTCTAACTGAATCGGTGAGCTCCAAGTTCAGTCAAAGACTCTGTCTCGAAAATAAGGTGGGGAATGAGTGAGGAAGAAACCCGAACGTTGACGTCTGACTGTCGTGTCACACACCCACCCACAAAGAAGCGTCTGCCTCGTGAAGCTTACACGCCACTGAGAAACAAGATGAGGGGCTGGAGAGATGGCTCAGTACTGAAGAGCATTGGCTGCTCTTCCAGGAGATGCGGATTTGAGTGCCTGAACCCACTAACTGATCATAAGCATCTGTATAGGTGATCTGATGCCCTGCAAAGACATGCATGCAGACAAAACACTCAGACATATAAAATAAAAAAAATAATTTTTTGCTGGGTGGTGGTGGTGGTGCACACCTTTAATCTCAGCACTCAGGAGGCAGAGACAGGCGGATCTCTGTGAGTTCAAAGTCAGCTTGGTCTACAGAATGAGTTCCAGGGCTGTTACACAGAGCAACTCTGTCTCAAAATAAATAAACAAACAAAAATTTAAAATTTGTTTTCAAAGTATATACCCATATAAAGGAAAAAGATGAAATTAAAAGGAAAAACTTTTGAAGGAGAAGAAGAAATAGGCAATAGGAATTTCAAAATGGGACATTGGATGACAGCAGCAAATCAAACTACCACAGGCAGTGGAGGTATTCAGGGCAGAAATCTGGTTGAAAAAAGAGCTAAGCTATTTGATTGACACTTAGATAGGGGGGCTGGGAGAATGTGGAAAAGGCTTGGACAAAAGGTGTGCAATTAGCTGGACCTTGAAGGGTGGGTGGGACATAAAACTGGTTCTGAATGTACAGGGGAGTTTGTTCCGGAGGGAAGGACCCACGGTAGCACATGTGCCAAGCTGGGCAGAACAGAGCCTGGATCCTGGGAAGAACCTGTCCCTTCCTCCTGAGGACAGGACACCACCAGCTCCTTATGTTGTTCTGCCACTGACTCACCACTTGTGGCCTTAAAGCAGTCACACACAGCCCTGATTGCCTCACTCGCCATCTGAGGTTAATTCCTGCACTTCGTCTCTTGCTAGACTGTTGTGTGTACATGATATAATACACAAAGGATGTGATTACTCAATAGGCCATTGCTAAATCCCAAAAAGGACTCTTCAGTGGGAAACACCCCGGACTCCACAAAATCTTCCAGATCCACAAGCTACCTCCTGCTCCTCATTTCACAGAACTTGTATGCAAAGTCTCATGCTCGGTACCAGAACTCAGCTCTCCTTGTCTTCCAAGATGGCTCGAATCACTTCAGCTGTGAAGCTTTTCTCGAAGCGCATTGTCCCTATAAGATCAGACGGCCTGTGTCACATGGCTTTGGAATTCTCAGAGAGTGCGTGATCACAAACAAGAACTCCGTTGTCAAATCCAGGAGGACTGAAGACCCAGCTCCAGCACTCACAAACCTTGTGACTTAGCAGTCTAACTCTCAGTAACTCAATTCCTATGTGTATGAAATGGAACACACGGACTTCACGGAGCTGGGGACTGACTCCAGGCCCAGGAATTCAGCGCCTTCTTTTACTTCCACAGGCACCAGCGTGTGCATGGTGTGAGAACACACTTGCACACCCCCAAGCATGCACATGCACATGCACACACACATGCACACCACGATAAAAATAAATTTTAAAAAAGAATTTTATTTTGTGGTCTAATGAGGTATACTGTCTAAGTTTAGGGGTAAGGAGAGTGCTAATACAGGCAGATTCGGGGTTACAAAGATTCGGAATAGAGCTCTTTGCTGTTTTTAATACCCTGAGGTGGCTTTAGGAAAATCTGCATTATCTCTACAGGCAATTCTATCTTGACTGTCCATCAACAAGAACCAATTAGGTTACAGAGCAAGGGTCTTTTTTTTCCCCTTCCTCACGCCCCTTAGTTTTCCCTGTCTTTCTGTCCTGCCTCATCAGTGAGACCACAAGACTCATAGGACAGAAAGGAGCCTATTGAAAGTCAGCTGCTTCTGTATAAAACAAAATAAAAACACAAAGACGGGAAGCTCAGAGCTGGGAGGCCATCTTGACATTAAGAGCGTATACAGCACTTCCTTCCCAAGTCCTCCACGCTTCGTTCATTCATTTCTCCATTTGGCCATTCATTCATTCATCAATAAATACTGTTTTGTTAGCTATCGTATTAGATGTCACAGTGATAGGCTGGAAGAGCAAGGTCTCTACTCTCAGGAAACTTTCAGGGTGTTTTTGTGTGTGTGTGTGTTCATGTGTGTGCTGGTGTACGTGTGTATGGAGGTCAGAGGGTAACTTTGGGTGTCATCCTCAGGAACACTGTCCTTCTCCTTTAAGATAGGGTCTTTCTTTTTTTGTTTGCTTTGCTTTGCTTAAGACCGGGTTTTTCTCTGTAGCCCTGAATGTCCTGGAACTCTGTAGATGAGGCTGGCCTCGAACTCACGGAGATCTGCTTGCCTCTGCCTCCCGAATGGTAGAATTAAAGCGTGTGCCCAGCAAGACAGGGGACTGAAGGTCATCAATCAGGCTAGGCGGACTGGCTACTGAACCTCACGAGTCCTGTGTCTGGCTTCCCAGTGCTGACATTACAAGAACTCAGCACTGTGCTGAAAAGCTGAGAGAATTCTGAAGAAAGAACTCAGTTTGCCACACTTGCTAGTAGACTGAGACATCACCTTAGCCTTTTGTTTATTTATTTCTTTGTTTTAAATGCTGTGTTATGCAGCCCAATCAGGCCTTGAATTCACTTGATAACCCTAGATCTTTAGAGTCAAAGATGACCTTGAACTCCTGACCCTTCTGCCTCCCCCAACTGCAGAGATTACAGGGATACAACACCGTGCCTATCTTCAGACTTGATTTGGAAGGGATGGGCTGGCCTTTTCCCTTTCCATTACCCCTACCCTAATATAATAAGCCAAGGAAAGAGACTACTGTCCTCCCTAGATTTCAGACTCCACTCTCAGTACCACATTTGCATCTCCCGAAGCAGGACGAGCATCATTGGCCTTCTTCTGGTCTCCATATGTGCTCCATTATCAAGACTGGGCTATGTAAAGAAATGACGGCATGTAAATATGAGACTTTAGGAGGGATAAATGGTTCCTGATCACACACCTAGAGGGTGCCCACTGAGCATGCGGGAGAGCGATTTTAGTCTGTGCCGTATAAAGCATTGACAGTAGGAATTCTGAGGTTAGAGATGTGATCTGGGAATGAGTCAGAGCTTGTCT